GGGGGGGGGGGGGGGGGGGGGGACATGGTGTTACCTCTCCACCACTCCTAGGCCTTGTGGCCTAAGCCAGCTACTTTGTGGCACATATGTGTGTCACAGCGTGGGCGAGAGGTTGTAGGACGAACGTCAGGGCGTCTTTTCTTTGAAAAGGTCTTTCAAGGACAATGTCACCTATGCTGACATTGCGCCCCAGCCCATGTGTTGGAGGTTGGATTATGCACCCATTATCTGGAATGGATTCTGTAAATGCGATAGAACCTAGATGGATGGATGTTCAGGATGCCTCGATGAGATAAATGACACGTGGATTTGTTTTAATTGATATCTCAGAGAAAGTCAAGATGGTCAAGCTATCCTGAGACATGGGACGACATCACGATGCATGGATCATTCAATGAGAACCTAAATGATGATGAGATGCGACGTTGCTTATGAGAGACCTCGACTTAGAGTAGAGGCAAAGTCGAGTCGAACGACTTGGCCTAGTGTAAAGGAAATCGGGAGTCCCAAACAATTGAACATGCATGCATGAGTGGCGTATGTGGCTAAACAAGCTTAGATTTTGTACAAGTTGTGTTCAATTGGCAAAGACGAACCACGCCTAGGTTTGACGAACCCACAAAGTCAGGAAAAAAATGTTAATGAAGCTTGAGTTTCCCTCAAAGCTGGTCATGAACGTGTCAAGATCACGACGCCACACGGTTCAAAATGTACGATTGTGACAATTGGTATTAGAGGCACACTTTGTGTGTCTAGTTGAACAAGACAGAGAACCTGAAGGTTGAATGAAAAATTTACAGGTGTGTCACGAGTGCCTAATTGGGCATGACAGTTAAAAGTAAGAATCAAGAATAACATTGTGGGTTGAAGCCAAACTCCTTGAGGAGGAGTTTTACACGTCAGTCAATTACAAATCAAGCTCCTTTTTCCAAGAGCTTGGGAGTTCAAATGGCAGACAGTGAATCATAAGGTGTGTCAGGTCGATGCATTCTCCTTCCTCGATATGACCTGAATTTCAGGAGGTAAAGCCTGTCTTGTTGTCTTGCTTGAGTCTCCCTTCTTTCCTGAGTAATGGGCTAGTCCCCAAAAATGCCGTCTGACGTTGGGGCTGAGATCTTTCTTTCTATTGAATTAGACGTGAGAGCTGAAAGTATGATTGAGTTAGGACTTGAAAATCATCTTTGAGCCTACCTATGTTCACACCCCTCTTTGTTTGAAAATTGCAAATTGAGATGATTGGATTTGCATTCCAAGAATTCTTGTTATCGCTACTGACTACTTTGACTTACTCCAGCTCGATCTCATTGCTGCGTAATTAGATTGAGTCTTGGTATGAAAACCTACTAAGTGATAACTTTCAACCTGAAGTCGTAACAAGGTAGTCGTAGGGGAACCTGTGGCTGGATTGAAAAAATAGGTGAAAGAGGGTGAATGAATTTACCGAGTGCGAAGCAAGGCATTCAGCTAAGAGCTGCCAGCAGCAACAATCAGTTTCCCTACAACACCTGCTGCTCTAGCTAAGTGTTTCAAGTCCTCTCCCCCTTGGTCGAGCAACTTTGCTCCTTTTCCTATTTATTCCTTCAACCACTCGGTAAACTGGAGAGTAAGTCCATTTATTTAATTCGACATTTGCATAAGATAAATAATATCAATGGTTGCAAGGAAAGAAGTCAGGGTCAGATGAGAGATGTGCCAGTCAAGTGCAAATGTGCATAATGCAAGTCCATATGGGTGGACGACATCGCTGCAAAAGAGGTAGTTGAGTTAAGTGGGGGAGTGCTCAAGAGAATGGGTTGCTCACTCCGAAGAAGTGCTTCAAGAAGCGAGCACATGTGTGTTCCTTAAGCCATCACCTAGTGCCTAAGGTGGATGGATCACATGAGTGTCAAGACCCGCTCGAGAAGAGAGTACCAGGCTGGATGTGGGTGACATAGTGAACAAAACTGCAACAAAACCAGAGAAGTGTTGGAAGGTGGTCAGTTGAGAAGTTGACTGAAGTGTAGTGCCAACACGAGGATGAATTACAAGCTTATAGACCTTGCTTTCGAAAAGGGTTGTGGCCATGACAAGGGAACGTTATGGTACACATCCCGGCATTGTCACCATAAAGGGATGCAGCCATGACGAGAGAATATCGTGATATAGATCTCTGTATAGCTCAGGGAAGATGACGGTTTCAGCCATGATGGCCACGTTTAGGGTGTGTTCCCCCTAGCTCAAGCGAAATTTTTTATGCTAGCTTTTGCCATGATTTGTCTGGTAAGTTTTGGGCTAAGTCCAAAAAGTGGGCAAAGTTTGGTCCCAAGAGGGATAACCCACAACCATTGAGCAAGTTGTGTTTTACAATACTTATGTTGCGCGTCTCAGAGACTGAGAGAAGGTTCGACAGCGGGATAGTCCATAAGTAGTGTGCAAGTTTTCGTATTCATTCTGAAAGTGCAAAGAAGTTAGTGGGTCAAGTGAACAACCAGTTCGATATTTAGATTTCGAGATTAAGTGGGGAAAAGTGTCACAATCGACAATACGATTGTGCCTCCAAGAAAGTCATTAAGGATGATGACTAGGTTAAGTGAGCAGAGTGTCACAACCTGAAAAGGAATCAGCCCAAGGGAAAGCTTTGGAACAGATTACCTTGTTGATCGAATATCTCAAGGCAAGAACACTTGTTTGAGATTCGAATCACTCCACAAGCAAAATCGATCACGTCTAACTTGAATAATTCTAAACATGCAATCTAAACTTAACCCTAATGATAAAGAATCACTCCAAGAGAAAGTAAAATTCAGATCACTTTGTTGATCAAATATCTCACAAGAACACTTATTTGAGATTCGAATCATTCCACAGGTAAGATTGATCTTGTCAAACTTGAATGATTCTTGCAACCTAAACTATATAGAATTGGAAAGAAACTTACCATTGGTTAAAGAAAAACACAAATGCTCATTTTACTACATTTTTCAAGTCTCCTTTACATTGATAACATACTGGCTTTATATAGCCTCAAAACCTTTCACCTTAAATGATACATTTAAAGAGTTTGTAATAATGAAACTTGATTATTCCTCCATGTGGCATGAATTAAAACATCTTTTGATAATTTTGACAACATTTTCTTCACATCTTCCTAAAAGTTTATATTGTACGATTGATGTCTTGTTCATATCACAACTTCATTGAGAGAAAGTAGGTGTGACCCCCACACACTAGACAGACAACTTCATTGAGAGAAAGTAGGTGTGACCCCCACACACTAGACAGACAATGGGCGACCCTCAAGTGACATCCATCCGGCCACGTGAGGGTCAAGATTGAGAAATACCATGATACGACCGAGGAGGATGGTGCATCATCCAACACACCAAGAATGTGCATTCATGAGGCATACATACACTAGGTTCGAAAGAACGATGCGACACGAGTGTCGAAGACAAACTCGAAGAGGGCTAGGTAGGGCCTTAGGCCATGACCTCAGAAGTCGAAGTTTTGATATGAGTTTCGACATGCGGCTCTAGAGTTAACTCTGTCTATATGAAAGATGAAAGCTCACCAAATTTAGTGTCAGTTGGATACTCGAGGGACGCTGCATGGGGTCATATAACCGCTTGCCAAAATGACGTCTACTCGAGAAAGATTGGTAATGCCTTAAAATATACTATATGGGGGAGACATGACGTTAGCTCTCCACCACTCTTATGTCACGTGACTTAAGCGAGCTATCTTGTGGTATATATGTGTGTTTGAGTATGGACAATAGTTATGGGACGAGCGTCTCGAGTGAGTCTTCCAAGGAAAGTATCGAACAACACAGGTGTGTCGACATTGCACCCAAGCCCAAGTCCATGTGATATGAACTAAGACATCTCAATCATATAATACGACTCGAAAGAAGTTGGGAAGAAGGTTCAAATTATCACACGAAGTATTGGACACGAGTTTATGAGCAAATAAATACAAACTTGATTTTTAAATCATTATCGCCCAAAGAAAACAAAAACAGAGAGAATATCAGAGCAGGCAGTTAGGCAGTGGTGAGTAAGCGAAGCTTTGACAGAGGAGACGACAATGGCGAACCCTAGAAGGACCTCAATTTCGTTGTTTTCTTCGAGCAATCCACAAAGCTTAGAGAGTCCATTTCACATTCAATCCCATGGCCGAACTCTTTCTCTCTCGTTACGCTTCTTATTCTCGTTTCTGAAGAACTTTCTGAAGAAGCCTCACGCGTTCCCTTTCTTGCTCTCTGTTTTCCTGTTACTCACATGGATTTCTCTCAGAATCCAGCACTCTTCTTCTCAATTCTCCTCTCCCGATTCCTCCCGCTTTGAACAGAATCCTGATTCGTGGAGCAAGGACGACGATCTCAAGGCCAACCTCGTTCGCTTCAAGTCTGGATTTCCTTCCCCGATTTCCAGGGACAAAAGGGGCTGGATACTCGATCCTATTTCCCTTGCGCTTGATTCTGGCATTCCTGGTAATCGGATCGTCTTCGCTTTTGGTTTGAATTCATTAGTGTTCCGTTTAGTTTGCGCTGAATTCGGCTTTTTGGTGCTACGTAGCCTATTATGAGTTTTTTTGGCATTCCTGGTAATCCGATCATCTTCGCTTTGGGTTTGAATTCATTAGTGTTTCGTTTAGTTTGCGCTGAATTCGGCTTTTGGGTGCTACGTAGTGTATTATGAGTTTTTTGGCATTCCTGGTAATCCGATCATCTTCGCTTTTGGTTTGAATTCATTAGTGTTCCGTTTAGTTTGCGCTGAATTCGGCTTTTGGGTGTCTACGTAGCCTATTATGAGTTTTCTGGGTGTTAAATTATACGCGCATCTTCATTTCTTTGAGCCTGAAACTGCATGGAATTATATCCACTGCCACTGGAATCCAAACCCAGTTATTTATTAAGCCTATAAGTGCTCCAAAATCATTTAGTTCTTCAATTCCTATTACCTGGTTTACGGCTTTGAGATTTCCGACTGAAGCACTCATTCATTTCAGTGATCATTTCGTTACTCTTGCAGGTGGAGCAATGTCCTGTGCTTCTGTTCATATTGGGGAAATTCAACCTGGTGCTATGAGGGGAAACCACAGACATCATACATGTAACGAAACATTTGTCCTGTGGGGGGCTAGAACAAAATTCAGGGTAAGCTAAGGATTAGGAGATCGAAAACCATTTGTTTGTTTTATATTAAGCATTTTATGGATGTGACATAGAGCTGGGAACTGTTTCCTTGAATGTAAAAAGGTAAAATTCAAAATTAAATGTCTTAACGATCTTGTTTTATTTGTATAAATAATTAATTCTCTTATCCTGTTACTAATATGGATTCTTTGTATCTTTATCCACCCTATACAGTTGGAAAACAGCAAGGTAGGCGATAAAGGATATGCTGAAGTGATAATCAGTGCAGATGAGGTTGCTGTTGCAGCAAGTCCAAGAGGAACAGCCCATGCATTAATAAACATGGATCCCGTTCGGACTACATTATTTCTGGGGTGTCAAGATGGTATTATAAACTATAACACTTCGACTTCAGATTTTAAAGTTTGGAAAGATCTTTAGTTGCAATAGCCTATCCTAATTCAGCCCCTGTTTAGGTCTCGGTAAGAATATTCTTCGGCTGTTCTTCATCCCTTCTATTGCCCTTTTCCTATAATTCGATCTCTTGTTTTTCACTTGTGGAGACTTTTTTGCTAGGTGGAGGGGATAGCATTGTATTTCAAATTTAGGGAATTTGTGATCAAGTTGTCGTGAGGTGAGACGAGTTATTACATCTTTGTATACAGTATTCTTTATAATGTATGAAGTACACTGAAGTCTAAAAGCACAATGGTTCTCTGGATCTATGAAGGCTTCAATGTGATGAAGTTCATAATAAATAAAATGTATATGCACAATTATACATAATATTAGTAATTAGTATCAATCATGGTATAGAGCAAATGAAAGTCGAGCATTATTAGACGTTCAACCTCTACAAAATCCTTTAAGTACAGTACAAAATTACATTAGAAGTCGTCATCGAAGTAGGATTTCATCCCTATTTTCTCCCATCATTAGACTTATAGCCCCTCCACATTTTCCTCTTCTAGTATCATTTTCATGTGCCTCCACAAGTATTGGAGGGAGGGAGGAAGAGAGCTTCGAGAGAGAATGTCGAACGGAAAAGATTAATCCGCAGTTCTCGTTCAAGTTTTTCATATATTTCTTTAAAGAATGTTGTCTTTAAGCGTTCGTGCTCAAGCAGGGCGAGGTGCCTTACCTGAGCCTATGTGCACACTTTTTGAGGTTTCTTAAACAGTGTATATACATAGGTTTCAGTTGTAATCTTGACAAATCTTGAACAATTAGTCCAGTTGAAACTCAACCTTCTTGATTTTCTTTCTTTTTGATAAAACATTTTTATTCATAAGTTGAAAAGTGTTGTAAAGAAAAGTTTGACATCTGAGTTTCTGATCACTGAACTATATTGTGGCACATTTCTTGCAAGTTCTATTCATTTTAGCTTCACAAAGTTGAAAATAAACGTTGTACATTCTAACATCTCTATATATTCATATTTTCAATTACTCAATGTAGGTTTCCACCTTCTTATGGCACATGAATGTGCTCATATGCTGAAATTTTATTGTTAGTGTATGCAGTTTTCTTTCTGTTGTAGATATGTTGAATCAGCCAGCTTTCTTTTTTGGGATTATATTTTTACTCAAAAGACCTCGGTAGAAGCTGTTCGGGGGGGTTTATAATTTCCGCGTTCGGCAGAAGCTGTATGGTAAAATTGGCATCATGTAAGTTGGCTGATAATTCCCTGGAAAAACATTAGTCTTTTTGTGGAAATTTAGGAGAATTTTGCAGATTGTGGGAAGATATTTGGGATCTCTATAGTCTTTGTTGCTTCTTGCTCCTGGAATGCTCTCGCAAATTCGTTTTCTGTAATTCTTTTGCCTAGGATCTTTTTCTGGAGAGTGTCTTCCTCTTTGACCTCCCTATAGCTTCCGACTTTTCAATGAAATGGTCTCGTTCCATACGAGGAAAACAACTGTCTATTGAACGTGATTTTGTAGTTTCTTATTTGGTGATGAAAATACTTGAATAGTGAAAAGGGTTTTGGAAGCATAAGCATGAATGACTACTCTTCTTTAGCCAAGATTAGCTGTGTAAATTGAAAAGGTTCTATTATGTATGAAACTTCTTATCCTGTCATCTTGAAAGCTTTTCATTAGTTACTGTTCATTCTTAGTTACTGTTCCTCTCAAAAGAGAAGTTGCCAAGTTTAGAACACCTGTTTCATTTGGACTTAACTTGTACGTATGTGAATGTGAGGGTGGTTAAGCTTGAAAGCTAACTAAAGGAAGCAAGCAAGAAGGTTGCTTGTACCAGAATGCAAGTTTGGACATTCAGATATTGTTGTTTTAGCATGTTTATATAAAGAAGCTAAATTCTGAAGCCCTTCATATCGAACTAGTGTGAGAACGAAAGAGGAGAGAGATTTGTGTAACGATGGAGGCAACGAAGAGGATGGCAGTTCTGGTGGGTTGTAATTACCCTAATACCAAGTATGAGTTACATGGCTGCATAAATGATGTGATGGCCATGCGAGAGACACTGATGAACAGGTTCAGTTTTGAAGAGAGCAATATTCAGGTGCTGACCGATGAGCCAGGCTCGTTGTTGATGCCGACTGGTGCCAACATCAAACGCTCACTCGGGCGAATGGTTGGTAAGGCAAAATCAGGTGATGTGCTGTTCTTTCATTACAGTGGACATGGAACCAGAGTTCCATCCATGAAACATGGGAACCTCTCTCGGCAAGATGAGGCCATTGTGCCCTGTGACTTCAATCTCATTACAGGTTTGTCTGTTGTTATTTAGATTATGAAAGTGATTCATGAAACTGCAATAATTCAGCTGAGTTTTTTTGTGTTTGCAGATATCGATTTTCGTCGTCTTGTAAACCGCCTGCCTAAAGGAACGAGCTTCACCATGATTTCAGACTCGTGCCATAGCGGAGGTCTGATCGACAAGGAGAAAGAGCAGATTGGACCTTCGACCATTATCAATGACGAAAAGCTCGAACTCCGATATACCCCGGACGCTGCGAAGGCAAAAACCATACCCTTCCAATCAATTCTACAACACCTTTCATTGCATACCAACATCAACACAACAGACATTGGCACACACTTGCTTGAATACTTCGGAGCAGACGCCAGTCTCAAGTTTCAGCTGGACTCGCGCGAACTCGACACGATCGACTCACTGAAGCCCGATGCAGGGATTCTGCTGAGTGGGTGCCAAGCAAATGAGAGTTCAGCAGACATGAACCCAGATAATGCAGCTGGGAAAGCATATGGCGCTTTCAGCAATGCGATCGAGAACGTGCTGAAGGAGAACCCCGCTGCGCTTTCGAACAAACAGGTGGTGGTGATGGCGAGAGGAATGTTGAAGAAGCAAGGCTTGGGGCAGCAGCATCCCTGCCTGTATTGCAGCGATGAGAATGCAGAGGCAATGTTCTTGTGCCAGAACCCATGAGCTCATGCTCCGCCCATATAGCAGACCGGTGAAAAAGTGAAATGAAATAAATCAAACTCTGGTTATTTTTATTATTTTTAAACTATTGATAAAGTTTATATATATATATATATATATATATATATATATATATTAATATAATTTTATGTCAAAGGAAACCCGAACTTTAAATTATGTATTTAACGTCCACGAATCTTAAAAAAAAGTTGAATAAGTTAAGAATCAAAAGTTGATCTATTGAACAAAAAGTCAAATATATAAGAGCATATTAGACCGAGTTTAAAGTTTAGATACCAATTGAATACAAAATTGAACCCCGCAAAAGGTGGATTATACAGAGCAGGTTCGAATAGTTGTTGGGTGGTTAGGACACCTTGTTTTTAGAGATAAAAAAGGGCGTGAATTTTTTGTACGCCATCGACCATTTTTGAAACATTTCCGGTTGTTTTGGTAGACGGTGACATAATTGTTAGAGCCGTATGCCGACCTTTTTTGAAATATTTCCGGTTGTTTTGGTAGATGGCGACGGAATTGTTAGAGCCGATGTTCCTTTTCGAAGAGGAGAATCGAAGTATTGTGTTGAACGGGTCGGTGAAACTCTTGAATTCTATGGTGGTGAACTCAATGGAGTCAGTTATAGTGATTCTGCTTCTGTGAAAAAATATGCTAGACGTGCTCAATTGGGTGAAATTTTTGAATTAGATCGTTCTACTTTAAAATCCGATGGGGTTTTTGGTAGCAGTCTAAGGAGTTGGTTTACAGATTCGATCCTAAAAATTCAATGACTAAATTTATAATTTAACCAGTATTTTTTCAATAATGAATAAGATTAATGTCATTATCATATTAATTCTATATTGGTCAATTCAATACAATTTTCCAATACGATTTTCAAACACAAATTTTAAAATTTAAGAAGTGAATTTATAATTTAATCAAAAGAAAAATACTTTAAAATAGTCTACGATTATTTTTAATTTAGTTTTAAAATATTCAAGAGTTAAAAAGTTGATAATCTAAATTTGTAATTTTTTTTCATTTAAAAAAACTTTATAAAAGAAAAATATGGAAAAAGAATATTCAAATATATTATAAAATTAAAAAAATATAAAAAAAATTTAAGGAGGGTGGGGCCAGGGTGTTGTGGGTCCCACCACAGAATAGGCTGATGTGGCAGTCAAAAGTGAAGGAAATGACCGGGTGGCGTCCAAACCGCGTATCCACTCCCCTTCTTTTCCGATTAAAAAATTCGTTTCCCTTCCGTTTTTTTTTACCGTTACGCGGTGGGAGGAGGGCAGTATCTGCTACATCCACTACCACAGTATCATCTTTCTCAACCTCTACGTGTCCTGGTTTCCTTGGTTCTTTCTTTCCACGTGGCAGTAAAGTAAGACAAGATTTCTCTGATTTGAATCGTACGTGATTCCGTCCGGATGCTCTTCTTTTCCCTTTTTTTCAGTGCCTTTCTATGTCATTTTACCATTTTACCCCTCTTGAGTTGGCCTTTTTATGTTGCAAATTCCAATTTCGTTTTTGGGACCTCGAAATACCTCAAATGCCCTTCATTGTTTTTTTTCCCTATAGACACAAGTTTAAATATATATATATATATATATATATATATTTTCCTTTATGTATTTAGCTCACTTAATTAAATTAAAATAAATTATGACGTTAGTATTTGCAACACCCGAATTTAGTTATTGTATTTTTTTTAAGAAGATCAGCAGGAACATTTTAATAATTATATCAAGTGGGATCATAATTATAATTATTTTTATTTTCCACCGCTATATATACGAAATATAATATATATTTAAAGGTTATATTAATATATTTAAAAAATTTGTAAATGAAATTAAATATCTTTTTATTTATTTGAGTTTTAAATTGTTTGTATATTATTATTAATAATAAAAGAGATTTGCCTTTCCTTTAAAGATTCCTTCCAGCTTGGTGGGTTGTTTGAGATATTTCAATCTTTAACATTTTAAATTCCTCAAATACCCTTCCCTTTTGACACCATTTTATTTTTGTTTTTATTTTTATTTTTATTATAAAGTCAAATAATTAAATCAATGATTAATATAAACCTTTTGAATCATATTTAAATAAAATATATAATAAAAAAAATAAAAAAAACTATTATTTTATTTATGTGCTTTTCTCAAGGGCATTATGGTAAATGTGCAAACAAAATGACTAGCAAAAGAAAAGGTGAAAATGGAAATGGTAATTATGGAAAAAGAAGAAGGGTAAATGGGTAAAATTGGAAGGAAAAAAGTCCCAATTCAGAGCATTTAAAGAAGAGGTGGGGCGCTCGTATAAAAGTCAAGCCAATTCTCGTTCTTCCTTGCAACAACTACAAACAAAAAACAGAAAACCCCTTTTCTTCTTCTTCTTCTTCTTCTTCTCCGGCCGGTGGCTGCCGTCTCTCTCTCTCTCTCTCTCTCTCTCTCTCTCTCTCTGACTTTCTCTCTATAGGTTGCGTAGTTTTAGCATATTTCTTCTGAGTCATTTGCTTGTAGAAAAGGACAACTTCATTCGATTATCTTCTCGAGTGAACAGCAATGGCGGATCAGCTAACGGATGATCAGATCTCTGAGTTCAAGGAGGCCTTCAGCTTGTTCGACAAGGACGGCGACGGTTCGTTCTATTTCTATTCTCTTTTCTTTTGTTCTGCATTGCTTTCGATCTCATGTTCTCGTCAGTCAGTGTGCCGGATCTCTGGTTTACGTTTCTTCTTTTGGCTTAACTCTGTTTTCCGTTAGATTTTTCTCCTTTCTCTATGTTTATCTGTTATTTATACCGATTATTTGTTGTTCATTTCCGGTTTTCTTTATCGTTTTTGTTGTGATTCGTTTCGCTTGATCGAGGATTAGGATTGGCTTCATTAATGTTGTTCGTTCGTGTCGGATCTCTGCATCCTTTAGCGATTCAAGTTTGATTTATAGTTTTGTATGAGCTCGTGAACTCGTGGAATCTCTGTTTTCCAGTGAAGTGATTCTGGATTCTGAGTGAACATTTAAATTACGCTGGATACCAATTAATCCATGACGATATCACGAATTCAGTTCACTCATTTTTTCTTTGCCTTTATATCGATCTTACAGGCTGTATCACAACCAAGGAGCTTGGTACAGTTATGAGGTCGCTAGGTCAGAATCCAACGGAGGCGGAGCTTCAGGACATGATCAATGAGGTCGATGCTGATGGCAATGGAACAATCGACTTTCCAGAGTTCCTAAATCTCATGGCTAGGAAGATGAAGGATACCGACTCGGAGGAGGAGTTGAAAGAGGCATTCCGTGTGTTCGATAAGGATCAGAATGGCTTCATCTCCGCTGCTGAGCTGCGCCATGTGATGACCAATCTCGGCGAGAAACTGACCGAGGAGGAGGTGGATGAGATGATCAGAGAAGCCGATGTGGATGGCGACGGCCAGATTAACTACGACGAATTTGTCAAGGTCATGATGGCCAAGTAAAAGTCATCATCATCCTTCCACTATCACCAGAACCAATCCAAAAAAAAAAAAAAAAAAAAAAGTAGCAAAAATAGGAAGGGCTGGTTAACTTTATAATTGGATCCTCCGGGTTTGCCGTTCGAGTTTAAATCCAAATCTATGATAGAAAATAGTGTCTACTCTCTGTTTCTTACGTTTTCAGTTTGAATGTATCATCATATCATGTGACTAAGAAAATGTGTCTTCGCTGTTCTTCCTTTCTTTTTTCTTTTTCTTTTTCTTGTCTCTCTGTAGGATTTAATTTTTGTGCATTACATCATTTGGATTATGGCTGGTTGCTTTTTTATTTCTATACTTAAATTCAAAGGCTACTTTTAGTTTTTGGATGATCCAATTAATTATCCACCTCTCAAGAAACAATTCAAATTATGCATACTTATATCTAGATCATAGAATTATGCAACATTTTCTTATCTTTTTTCTTTGAAAATTAAATAGAAATATCCAAAAGGAAAAGAAAATGCTGAAGCAAGAGTAAACTCCATCAGTGATTTGGTCAATGAAAGTGTGTTCCTTACAAGTTGCACACAACACTCTTCTAACTCTCAGTTCTCAATTCTTTCTTCTAAGCACCCTGCACCAACCTTAAAAAAGCTTGCATTAATTGACATTTTCATTCATTCGATTGATCATCACAATCTCTTCAAGCTCTTCTTTCTTGCATCTATCTTCTTCTTGTCAGCCTGCATTTTTAAGGGTCCAGCAGCTTCCTTCTTCGCCACGGCTGCTGGTGCAGCCACCCCGGAGCCCCCGACTCCTAATTCCGAGGCTGCTGCTGGTGCCGTAACATTCGGCTGCTGCTGCTCCTGGTCACCTCTCACTGCAGTATTAGATTGAGCAGTTGGGCATGCCAATGGGTGTGCAGCAGTAGATGAGTTTTTGAGATCTGTATTGAGAGCCGATGCATTTGATGGGTCGACATTGAGGGCTGTTGTGGACTCGGAGATGGCTCGGGTTTTGAACTTCGGTTTTGGCTTTGCATGGATTCCTGTATAGAGCCTGCAAGCAAAGCAACAGAAAACTCAGCTACATGTTTGCTTATTCATCATTATTGTCTTTTGAAGGGTGAAGTTTCAATTTACTAGAAAATTAAATTCTTCATAGAACAAAGCAGTGGAGATGAAGAAGCCAACATGGATGCAGGTGAATCGGGATGGCTTTTGATAACCATTTAGTTTCGAGTTTTCGGAAACTAAGTTATAAATACTACTACTTATAAGTTTCTTTGTTTTGTTTTCCACTTTCTATCCATATTTCAAAAGGTAAAAACTATATTAAGAAATTGAGAATGACCCAACTAAAAAACAAAATCGAGTTGACGCGTTTCTAGCATGTTCTTCAGAGTTTCTATATAATCAAACAATGTTTTAGTCGTACAACCTAACATTATGAATACTTCGAGAAAGGACTTTTAACCGTTTCAAAAGTCGACCAAAATCACTCCTAGTTTGAATAGTGATTTTTGGGTTCGAGATCACATGGGTGCATCAATAAAACCCACCGAGGTCTTCGGAATAATAAACAATAACCATAACAATATTTCATATCATATCATCTTATCATATAGAACAATAATTTGGAGGGGGGGCTGACTCACCTGGCATGTCTGGCATACTCATCATAATTTTCAAGCAGCATCTTGCCAGCTTGTTCATTCAAAGCTGATTCTGGAAATGGTTCAATCAGTAGACATCTAACAACCTGTTCCACATAATAACCTATCATACAGAGATTCTGAAACGAAACCAATATATATTAAAGTACTTTTCAAACTGTTCTCTTCAGCGAACTTACCGTTAGGACATGTCGCAGCCCAAGGCTTGGATTCCAATCCTTCTTCAAAGTGTTGACACAAATCTCACCATTGGTTGCAATGTTTGGATGAAAGATTTTAGTAAGGAAGTAACCTATAAAGATTTTTTATAAAAATAAAAAAGTTAAGGATGTATAATACGTCATTGATGCGATCTAGGAGAAAGAAAGAATAGACGACAAGGAATACCAGAGCAAACCTTTGGGAGGAGAATATGGGAAATCATGAGACAATATCAACTTCATGCGGAAGAGACCGTTCTCATAGGGAGTCCCCACTGCAAGGGCAACAATCATAATTCAGTAAGAAATGTAAACTATATGTCGATGAGATAAACTTCAGTCATTAGAGTGATAAATGACATGCCTGGGCCTTCAATATCAGCAAATATTGTTGAGAAATCGTCATCGTTAACACCTACTTTTATGCCTTCGGGAGGGGATTCATCAAGGCTCTTCAACTCCTTTGCAAGTTGCTTTATAACCTTTGGTGGAAGATTTTCATTAGTGGCCTGAAACAAATTGAAATGAATGATCCATTAATGGGGTATAGCAGTAAATGGAATGAGAAACTATTTTTCATGTGATCATTTGAGCATCAAAGAATCAAAACAATTCATAAAATCGAGTAAGCGAACAGGATAAGGACATGAAAAATATACATCCTCATTGTCTCTTATTCCCGCTTCCCCATGAAGCCGAAGATAGGGGAATGTCTATGCATTCAATAACTAAAATACAGAGTTCTAAATCTTTTGGAGGCAGGTCTGTCAACTACAAGCCTGAGTCCTTCTTTGTCCTTTCACCAGTATCCCTTCTTATTTACTCCCTCCCCAACGGACTTCCGTGGTCGTGGAATCTAACTACCAACTCAATAATATAACTGCAACCCTCTGTGCACAAGACTTCCCGGGAGGGAGGGAGGGAGGGAGGGAGGGAGGGAGGGGAGAGGAGG